GCATCTTGTGCTCAATCCTGTTACAATTTTAACACACTAGACTGCAATGCTTCTCATAGAAAATAGCACACTGATGGTAACTTTGTTAAGTTAGTATTATTTAGTTGTTATTTTATGTATCCACACAGGTCTGTCAGTTTGTTCTATAGTGGTGTCTGGCATGCTCTATGATGCTGGAAGCTATGCCACTGGTATTTCAAGTACTAGCAGGGTTAAGCATGGTGGACAATTTCCAAACTAAGAAAGACTAGGAAGAAAGGCCTGACAATCTGCTTTCAAAAATTAGTCAGTAAAATCGTTATGGATCACATCAGAATATTCTCTGATATAGTGCTGGAAGATAGGCCCCCTGTGTTGGAAGGCACTACATAATTTCCACAACAGACTCAAACCAACGATCATGAAGACAGTGCTGGACTGGGTAACGTTTCATTCTGTTATACATAAGCTCACTAGGAGTCAGAGTCAACTCAACAGCAACTAACAACAACAACAATTTTATGTATGGAAGTCCTGCCTCACACTACACACACAAAAAAACTTCAAGGCTTGTCTAAATGTCTATCTACTGTACAAAAATAAATAAGCAAACAAATAAATAAATGTATATAACCGAAGACACCAGGGTGAAAGGAAAATAGAGAAAATAATGCCACATAATCCTGTACAGTTGTTAGAGGTAGGCTCCATGATTCCTAGGGGTCAAAACTAAGGAGATATTAAGAGTTTCAAAATAAAAATAAATTAGTTGTGCTGTATTAAAATGGGAGAACAGTTATCAGTATCCTCGGCTGCTAGAAAAGAAAGCAGCCTCAGAAAAGTTAGGTGTCTTGCCCAATGTCCCATGGCTTGTTTTGTTAGAGGAAAATACTGGTCTTCTGACTTCCATTACTGTTGCTGCAATACCACACTGAAACCAAATACACAATGAAAAATAGCTGCTATTATGACAACCCCTGGGAGAAACAGAAATACCTATTCCCTTGTGAGGGACTGAAAATTAAGCTAAGAACTCAACACAAATGTTGTGTGAGGAAGTTTGGTAGAGTTGGAAGATATGAAATGATTTGATTGCACCTAAAGAGGAAACAGTGGTATAGCAGTAACATTCAGAAGCACATGAGGTCCCTGTTACCAGGGCCTCAAAAGGGCAGAAAACTAGTTTATAGAATGTTCTGTATGTATATGTAGTCTTAGAAGAAGTGGACTGTTAAGTGCTATATTACACTACGACTGGGAAGACAGATTTTTAAAAATTTACTAGGCATTTCTCCAGACGAAAACAAAAATTAAGGTCAGGTCTACATCAGCCAGTAACAGACTTCTGGGCCCCTAGATTCATTTATTTGGCTCTGCTGACTATTTGGCTCAGTTTTCCCTTAGCAAGTGTAAAAAATGCTTGAACACCACCACCCTGGGATCGTGTTCAAGCAATTCAGATAGCTGTGGCCTTTTAACTCACATCCAAGTGACTTGGCTTCATACCAATATCATTTCCCCTAGTATAGCCTAAGCCTAAGTGAGAAAGTACACAGCTCAGGGAGCCGGGAGTTAACTGACTATTCCCACTGCAAAAAGGTCGGGTTCTTTTCCTAGACAAGGAAACAATACTGTATCAATAAGTTTGGGCTATTCCCTTATCACACTGGATCTATAAGTATAAAAAGAGAGTTAGTGGAAATACCACCTTCTATTCTTAAAGCATCCCTCTTGAGGAGCTTTAGGCAATTTAACTTTTCTTTTCCAGCTCAATCCCTTGGGAAATAGAGGTGATTTATTAAAACTTACAATTTGCAGATCAGAAAACAACAAGTTCAAATGCAGAGAGTGGCAGACTGTCTTGAGGCTACTCTCTACCTGTTGAGCCACATTTCTTTCTTGTAATTATACAAGAAATACAGAATGTGCACATTTACTTGTGTGTAGCTGACTATAATTTAGCTTACAGCACAGTTATACGATATTCTGTAGATATGACCCTCCTTGGGCCGCCACCCTGTGCAGACATTTCCCTTTGCCAGGGCCATGGTTTCATGCCACCTCTTCCACAGAAACCTATGTCTGGAGAAGTCTAAAACAGTTCTAGAATAGCAAGTTGCTCTCTGCTACACCAGCAAGAAATTTCTGCAGTTCCACCTGTCCCTCAATGCAATGTGTCCATATTAACCGCTTCGAGTTTATCTGCCTATATTGTTTCTGTTTTTATAAGATACATCAGTTTATTGGCATATTTTGCCTTTATTCCCTCCAGTCTTTGTAGTGGCACATGACTTTTATGGCCAGTGAATACATTAAATTCACTGATATTTAGGTGGATTATCTTCTTTTTTTAACTGGGGGTCATGGCAGGGATATAGCATAATATACATAGATTCTGAGACCACATCAGACAAAAATTAAAAAGCTGCTCTTCCTTCCAAAGTAAGTTTTAATAAAAGAAGACTGGGAAGGAAGAAAGCTCATTTTAGTGAAAGACACCAAATGGTCTAGGTACGAAAGACATAAACTAAAAGAAGCAGGCAGCAGTGCCCCCTGGGTAGCCTGTTAAGAAGTTTACCAGGTATAGTTTCTGGAGAAATTAAGAAATGCAAATAACCTGAACAGATTAACAGCAGTCGAGGATAACTAGCAGGATGCAAACAAACAGCACCTTTCACTACGAGGAGGCGTATTCCTCCAGGCAAACAAAGAAACAGGACAGAGTCAACATCTGTTTCATATCACAGCTTGGCTGCTGAAAGAAGCAACCTTTAAAAAAATGACTTAGCTCACAATCCTCAAAAATCATTCAATCACTAACTATTGCATGGGCTGAAGTAAATGGGCAAATGAACACACTTGCACTTTTCACACTGCCTCATCGTCTTCTGAAAAAGAAATGTTGCCTTTTCTTGAAAGGAAAAAAAATCAAAATAAAGTGCAAACAAAATCTTCATAAAGTTTTCCCTTTTGATTGACAACTAGCAGCAATGAATACCGAAGTGTAAAAGTCAGCTAACTGCTTTTCAGCCTTTCTTTGCCTTTCCCAATGTCAATTGTGAAGACAAGAATTCTACAGAATATATTGGGTGGGGATGGTAGCTGAGGGTAGGGGGCAGGAAGACAATTCAGACTTAACTCATTAGAATTTTAGAAGAAGAAAAAAAAAGTTATTTAATAAAACCAATCAGAGTTCCAGAATTCAGACAGAGAAAAGCAAAGGAATATTATGATGTCTGGCCCCTTATTAATAAATGATAAAGAACCAAACGTCTTAAGAAATGAAATTTTGTCTCTGGATTCCATTAATTCACATATAAAATTTCAGAATCAAGACAAAAAAACATCTATGAATACATTAAAATCTGCTTATAGATGTAAGAACTGGAAACTTCTCAAGTGAAAAATCATAAGAACTGCAATGTCACTGCAGAATGGACCACTGCTTTCAACTCAGCTAAGTGCCAGATGCTTCTCTTACTTTAGTGATGTGGTTAAAATACATAAGCCAAATAGGGAAAGAATGCAATTAAGAGACAAATGATATTGAATTTCAGTGGCACAAAATCAAGGTTAATTCTTTGTAATGTTCACTTTTGTAATTTTTCAGACACACTGACTATTTCATCCGGTCAAACATCGTATCTAATAAACACCTTATCAATTAATCTACAGTATCTTGTACCTGGAGGTATTCAATAAAGGTTTCTTGTCTAACCTAATTTAAGAAAGTACTTGTTGAATACCAACCATACTTAAAACCAGTAGAATTCTCAAACAATACATTTTGATTCCATGGATTTTTACAATATGTTCTCTAACTTAAAAATATCCACAAATAATATTATTGTCACTGAGAAGCAAATAGCCATAAGAAATCACAAAATAACATTAAAATATTCAACCTAATAAAGCATGCTCTTTTAAAAATGTTACATAGAAGGCTTAATGTATTACAAGAATATCCATGTTTTATGATTTTTGGAGTCAAAATGACAAAACCAAATGTCTTAAAGGAAAATCAGAATTTATCAACCATGATTGATTTTAAATATTAATACTATAAAAGCCAAAGGTAGCTATAAAACAGACTGCCAAAAGCAAACCAGTAGTAGACATAGCTCTCTGAAAACAAAGACATCTGAAAAGACCGGCCAATATCTTATTAGATAAAAATAACAAGGCACTCAAACATTATTGAAATGGCATAAAGTTAGTGCTTCAATTTCATCAAGCTAACATAGGTCACAGAATGATCCTAAAAAAGAAAGGGTAAAGTCAATATCACGAAGTGATTAAAGATATGGAAGAGAACTTTCTTCTAAGTCATTAAACTCACCGATACGCTGAACTCCAGAGCACTTAACCATTTTCCTGTGCCATTAGAGAATTTAAGTAGGTTCACTGAATTGACTGATTTCTTTGTTAACCTATTTACATGGGTTAAGACCCTGACTGACATAAAACACAACCAAAAAACGCCAGACAGAGAGTGTAATGAAAGACTGAGTGATGTATGGTTTGGGGTACAGCCTATCCAATAAATGTGCTTGGCCAGCAAAGAACACATTGGCAAAGATTTATTATTGGACCAAATACATTCTAAAAAGATCTAATACAATAAAATCTGCAGTATAAATACAAACTACTCTAAAATATAGTTCTTTGCCCTTCATAGTGTATAGCTTCTTTCTACAATTGTATTAAAATTATCTTAATATTTTCCATTCAAGAATAAATTTCTTGAAAAACTAAAAGCAAGTATAGTGTATGAAACTCCACTAATGGTACAGTTCTTTGATTCATACAAAAGAAAACACAGTTTACCTTATTTAGAGCTTTTCAACAATTTTTACAACATAAGGAAATATTTCTAAGAAACATAATATCAAGAGAAAAGGTAAAAATGAATCACCTATTAGAATAACAACTTAGTATTATGTTTTAATTATATGTAACATATTAATACCATATTAGTAAATGTGAAGACTAGACATAGAAATGATTTTTAGAAGTTATACCTCCAAGTTCTTTTACATTCAAGATGGCATTCTGGAATGGCACTGCTTTTATACTGAAACCTAAAATTAGAAAACAAAACCATAAAAAGAATTGGCAATTGAACTTCTAAGATTTACTTTGCACAGCTCATATTTATACTAGAAATACACAATTTCTAAGATAAACTGATGACCCAACATTATGTTCTACCATTTTTCAAAATATGGTTGTGTATTATAGCGAAATATAACACTACCTTTTTTTCTTAAAAAAGACTACCTATTTTAAATTTAATATGCAATGTCACTACGCAAATTGTATCAATTGGAAGAAAGACATTTGGAACTATAGAGAAATTTCAAAGAAAACAGTAATCTACAGGGCCTTTGCATCCAACGAATTTCTAAAGTTTATGTCTTACAATTTTCTCTCCCATATAATTCAGCAATATTAGAGATTAAGATCCTTAAATTATAACCACCTCATATTAAAATTACATAGCATTGATTTAATATTTTCTGTTAAAGACGTGGTTAATATGTCACACACACATTTTTCTTGAAAGTACAATCATACTTATCCATCTGTGCACAGGTAATCATTGTATTATGCATGCAACAAAAGATTTATATTATAAAAGATAGATCCAGAGTATACTTTTTTCTACAGCTATTTATTTAGAACTTTACTATTACAATTCAAGTCAATCAATTAAGATGCAACTGAATTTTGCGTGATGTGATTGTGCGTATGCCTACACACGTGCACACATACATGCAAACAAATATATGTACTGAATATTTCTGAAAGGATCCACAGGAAATTGAACTAGTTATGACTCTGGGGAGGACTAGGGACATAGAATCTTGAATAGAAGGGAGATCCTCTGTTTCATTTGAGTATTTTGCCATGTGCATGTATTTCTTTTTCAATTAAAAGTCTCACTAATTTTTAAATGTTAATTTATCAGGAATTTCTGAGCACCTATTCCATTTAAGATTTTTAGTATTCTTTAATATGTACAATTGAAAGATGACCAAACACAATCCCCTTTACACAAAATTGTCAAAAGAGTAAAAGAGAAGACACAAAAATACTTTTCCTTTGAAGCCAATTATGGTAAGTGCCTAGAAAGGTAAAAATATATAAAGTAGGATGTGGATAAGAACAATTCTTTTACATGGCTTTTCTTTATAAAAAATAAATTAATATGTGTTTTTTAATTCTACCTTATTTTTTATCATTCCTTTGCTATATGTTGTCTCAGCACTTTAAGATTCTATACATTATCTTCATCTAAGGCAGTGAATATTAAGTAACAGTTGGAGAACTGATTTTATTCAGACAGAACTAGGTTTAAATTTTAGCTCTATCACTGATTAAGCTGTGTCAGTATGGGCAATCTACTAGTCTTGGCTTTCTCATCTGTAAAAATGGGTATGATAGTATCTACCCACAGGACTGTTTTAAGGATGAGATAATATATGTACTGTGTTTATCACAGTGCCTGGTACACAAGAAGCATACCATGTATGATTTCCAGCATTATATTTCAACCAATCCTTGACTGTTGATGATTTAATCATTAGGTATACATATCTTCTACCTGCCCAAATATATTACACATTCATAAGACAGAAATTCTAGGTGCTCATTTACTAATCCAAGTACTTTGTTGGAACGGCTAAAATCTACCACTGAATGAAAAGTACCTTTGAGTGATGGAGATGTGAACAGTTGAAATCTGCTGTACAGAAAGTAAATGTTCACTGAGCCCTCAAAGAATCTTCCAAAATATACCCTTCCTTGTTGGGTTTAATGCAGACTGACACAGTCGGCATCGTATTTTGGTTAATGGTGCATGCAGCCACAGAACCTTAGTTAAACAGAAGAGGAATAAGGAGGCAGTCCCATGTGGCTGAGACACTGGAGGGTACCTGCGCCTGCAGGAAAGCCTCTCCAGGTGTCTGGCCTCTGGGAAATCAGGGAAAGCCCGTGCCAATCACAACGCTCCTGCTGGAACCAAAACTTAGCCTGCAGGAGACTTGGATGCTTGAATGTATCTACCTATCTCACACGGGTGCTAGATGGATTAAAAGGCAATGATTGTGAAATCCTGAAAATGAAAGGCCCTAACCAAATACTAAGCAATCTATTAGTAGTTATGCTCAGGACAACTCAAATACGGATTTTCCAAAGAAGCAAGACAGGCCCCAACTCTGAATAAGAAACAGGTATGGAGCACACCAGCAATGTTTAATCTGCTTTGATTCTTCAAGGCTGACAATATGCAGACACCCAAAGGGAAGTAATATCCTTCCAGAAACTGCTGCACCCATATGCAAAATACAACTTAAGAAATTTATTAATCCAACAGATTATATCATTGTTACTGTCTTTAAATCTTTGCACAGTCTTCATTATAAACTGACTACAAAAATATCCTCAAGTGTTCACGCTAAGCAAAATAACCTAGCAATGTTATTTATAGGCATATAAATGTTTCTGCAGAATACTCATAAATGCTTTCTTCTTAAATAGAACACGTGTGGCTAGATTTATACTGCAATGGTATATACAGTCTTTCATATTGCTGTCTTCATATTATTTTCACACTATAGCTGTGGTAATGTTCAGAAGATGAAGCCTAGATAATCTGTCCAGAAAATAACAAAATATACTATTCATGGAAGAGAAGCAATATTTTTCTATTGTAGTCATCCTAAATGTTTTCAAGAGTTAAACAGAACTAAATATTTAAAGCCACACATTTGGTTCACTGGAAGGATAATCAAGCGAGGTGACTATCAGATCAATTATATTTTATTCCTTTACATTGGGTTGGACTAGGTCAAGAGGGAAATCAACATAATACTTAATAGGGACATAAAGGTTAAATTAACAAAATATCTTTCTCAAAGGGCTGTTCTGAAGAATAAAAACCACTGTATATCTCATGGGACAACTAGGTCAACTGGCATAACTTAGTTCATAAAGATAACATTCCACAACACAGTCTGGTGAGTAGCGCCTGAGGTCTTAAAAGCTTATAAGCAGCCATCTAAGATACAACTATTGGTCTCTTCCTATCTGGAGCAAAGGAGAGTGAATGAAATCAAAGACTCAAGGAAGAGATGAGTCCACAGGAATCATGGCCCACGCGAACCACAGCCCCCTTTAGCCTGAGACCAGAACTAGACGATGGCTGGCTACCACCACCAACCATTCTGACCAGGGACACAACAGAAGGTCCCAGTTAGAATGGGAAAAAAACATAGAACAAAACTCAAATTCATAAAAAAGACCAGACTTACTGGACTGATAGAGACTACAGGAACTCTCGAGTCTATCGCCCTAAGATACCCTTTCAACCTGGAACTGAAGCCACTCCCAGAGGTCACCTTTCAGCCAAATAATAGATTGGCCTATAAGATAAACAGTAACACCAGTGAGGAACGTGGTCCTTTAAACATCAACTATACGAAACCAAACGGGCAACGTTTACACAAAAGAGAAGAAGAGAAAGCAAGGCAGGCAAGGAAACTGGATGAATGGAAACAGGGCAGGCAGGGTGGAAACGGTGAGAGTGCTGACACATGGCGGGGATTGTAACCAATGTCATGGAACAATGTGTGTATGAATTGTTGAATGGGAATCTAATTTGCTGTGTAAACTTTCACCTAAAACAAAATAAAACATTTAGACACACACACACACTTTGTAGCATGGACTCTAGAGCCAGAATGCCTGGGTTCAAATTCTGTCCCTATAATTTATTAGCTATTTGAGCAAATCACTTAATCCTTGTGTGCCTCAGTTTCCTTATCTATAAATGGGAACAGATGACATACAGTAAGTGTTATAAAGTATTTTTTTAAATAAGCAAAACAAAAAATCCAGATCAACAGTGTGTTGTTGCCTGGGTGCCACTGAGTCGATCCTGACTCATAGCGACCCTATGAGACAGAGTAGAACCGCCCCATAGGGTTTCCTAGGCTGTAAATCTTTATGCGAGCAGATTGCCTAGTCTTTTCTCCTGAGGAGCAGCTGGTGGGTTTGAACTACCAACCACCAGGGCTTCTTTAGATCAATGGCCACCAAATGACTACTGGATGCTTTTAACTTCTCCTGGACAAAATCATGTGTGGACTCAAGCTCTGATATATTATGCAAGCAGTGATAAAAGTAAGCGTTGCTGTAGTAACAATAAAAAAAAGATTATTGAAGACATCTATAGGATAAGTACTGGAATTCTCCATGACACTTCCTTCCCTTCTCTCCTAAATCCAATCAATCATCAAAGCCTGTCAATTCCATCTGCTAAATATTTCTAAAATATGTTCACTTCTCTCCATCTTTTTTGCCCCACTCTGGTCAAGCTACTACCGGCATCATCTGGACAATTGCAAGAGCCTCCTAACCAATCTGTTTGCATCTGTTATTAAAACAAACAAACCCGTTGCTGTCGAGTCAATTCCGACTGTCCCTACAGGACAGAGTAGAACTGTTCCACAGGGTTTCCAAGGAGCAGCTGGTGGATTTGAACTGCCCACCTTTTGGTTAGCAGCCGAGCTCTTAATCACTGCACCACAAGGGCTGGAATTATAGGCCCCCTCAACTGGTCTCCACACGTGAGCAAAAGTTATCTTTATAAAATGTATGTCTATTCATGCCACTCTCCAAATAAGCCGTTTTGGTAGTTTCCCACCACTCAAGATATAGTCCAAAACACCTAACAAGGCCCTACATAGTCTGGTTCCTTTCCAAGCTTATTTTGTACCATTTCCCCCTCCCTCATTGATGTTCTGCAGTTCCTAGAACAAACTATGCTCCTTCCACTCAGGGACCTTGCACATACTGCCTCATAAACACTCTTCACTTGGATAACTTCTCATTCCTTCAGGTGGCAATGAACTTCACTTCCTCAGGGAGGCTTTTACTGATGTCCTTGAATTAGGTTAGGTCTCTGGGTGGCATAAACGGTTTGAGCTTGTAAACACACCTAGTGGCACTGTGGAATAAAGCCTAGCAATCTGCTTCCACAAAGACTACAGTCAAGAAAATCCTATGGAGCAGTTCT